TGTCCATCACCTGACTATCTAGTAAAATCAAGGCTGAGAAGATGAGTCTTTTCCTTGGCTTCCCACAGCTTCCACGTGTTCAGCATCCATCCTCTGCACATATTCGTGTCAGAATTTAGTTCTGTCTTCTTTCATGCCTTGACCTTATTTCCTTCTACTAAGAAATAGTAAGTTGTACAGAGCTTGATTCCACAGGACTTCATTACACAGAGCCACAGGAATTCTTGTCAAAACACAGGATGCTCTGATTTTCTCAGACACAGACTGTCCCTGCCTACCCTAACCCTCCACATCATGTAGGTGTGTCTCTTTCATGTTTGTTTTATGATTAATTATGAAGCTTTAGAAGCACGATCCTGCAAAGTGATGCCAACAGCCCTCAATCCACCACTGGCATCAGACTTCAAGCCAGGCATCATGGATCTTTAAAGTATTACATTTTTAGTGGGATCTTTAACTTTTGGTCAGTGAAGAACAAAGTCACTGCAAAGAGAACACTGAACAGTCAGTGTTTTAGAAAGGTTTCTTCAGACATGTAGCAGAGAGAGAGAGAGAGTGTGTGTGTGTGTGTGTGTGTGTGTGTGTGTGTGTGTGTGTATGCATATGTATATGGAAGCCAGAGATCAACCTTGGGTGTCATTCCTCAAGAGCCATCCACCTTAGTATTTTTTTTTATTTTGGTTTTGATTTCAGGGTAGGGGGTGATCTTTTTGAGACAGGATCTCCCAGCTGGCCTGGAACTCACTATGTAGACCAAGCTCACTGTGTAGACTTTGATCTCACAAAGATCCACCTGCCTCTGCCTCCCGAGTACTAAAACCATGCACCACCACACCCAGCTTCACTTTATGTTTTGAGACAGGGCCTGGGACTCACTAATTAGGCTAGGCTGAGGGGCCAGCAACCCCCAGGTATCTGCCTGACTCTCCTCGATGGCTGGTATCAAGCACTAGTGCCCTCCACCATGCCTGCCTTTAACAGAGCATTTGGAGAGCCAGTTATTTGCATGGTGAGGGGCCTCCAGTAGCAAAGGAGGAAAGCCACCGGGAGAGTGTGCTTAGCTGAAGTCCCTGCCTGAGATAAGGGGGGAGGGGTCATTTTCAAGAAGCTCATTTGATGCAGAGACGATGACACTTACGGGAAATATAAAACCAAAGCAATACTAATAACAGCCCATTTGTTCCCCCGCAACTGGTGAGAAGAGATGAAATTAAACTTATCCCTAAGTTTAATTAAAGGTCGACTCTTGACGGAGGGATTGCACTGGTAGCGTCCTGTTCTGAGCACTGCATCTGAGACATTTGATGGCCCAGCATCACTGGCTCGAAGAGGGGAAGATATGGGAGGCCCTGTTCCTAGTGAGGTTTGTGCAGCCTGTTGAGTCCTGACTATCACAGTCAAGGGAAATAAAGACAAAAGCTGATTACCGCTACTGAAAATACAAATCGTCTTTGTCTTTACTTCTCGGAGGGCGCCTGATTCTACTCCAGCCACCGTGACTTCCTGTCCTCATCTAGGTAGCTGCACATGCTTTTGGAAGCTGTTACCTTGTTTTTTAGTCAAATCAAAACGTGTTGTGAGCAAATTAGGGAATTTGTAAGCATCTCATTCTGAAATTTCAAATTGACTTCTCTAGCCCTCTTATATTAAATGACATAAAATAGGTCATACTATGACCTCTATGAATTCTGACTCTTAGAATAAGAAAAGGGTCAGGGAGATGGCTCAGTGAGTAGACTGCTTGTGGCACAAGCTTGAAGACCTGAGTTCAGATCCCCAGAACCCACATGAGACCAGACACAACAGTGTGCATTTACGATCCCAGCATCCAGTAGCAAGACGGGAGACAGGAGAGTTCCTGCAAGTTTGAGGGCCAGCTAGCCTGCTGTGTGCTATAGTGGACCACAGACCTCATCTCAAACAAAGTGGGAGCCAAGGATTCACCCTCGTTTGACCTCTGACCGCCACACAAGTGCCATAGTACACCAGAGACTGTGCTCACACTTACAAACTTGCCCTCTGCACATGCACACTTGCACACGCACACACACACACATACACACACACAATTATACAAATAAATATAATTTAAAATTTTCAAAGAAATCTTAGAGTTCCATAACTTTGGTGCTTCCAACATTTTAGATGGGATAATTCTTCATTGTGAGGGGCCATCCTGGGCACTGTAAGATTTTGTCAGCATCCCTGCAAAGTGGTCTTCCCACCCACCATTGACACATCGTCGTTGTAGGGAAGGGATCACTCCTGGTTGAGAACTACTAATGTATATGGTGTCTGCAAAGCAAACCCTAAATGTAATGTTTGATGCATTAAAAGCCAAGGGATGGAAAGATGGCTAAAAGCACTGACTGCTCTTGCAGAGGACCCGGGTTCGATTCCCAGCACCCACATGGCAGCTAACACCCATCTGTAACTTCAGTTCCAGGGGATCCGGCACCCTCTTCTGACCTCTGAGGGCACTGAACAACATGGGTGCACTTACATGCAGGCAATACACGCATGGTGGTGCATGCCTTTAATCCCAGCACTTGGGAGGCAGAGGCAGGCGGATCTTGGTAAATTCGAAGCCAGCCTGGTCTACATAATGAGTTCCAGGCCAGCTAGGACTACAGGGAGACCCTTTCTCAAAGAGAGAGAGAGAGAGAGAGAGAGAATAAAGAAAAAGCCAGTTCTTCTCCCATGCATATAACTTCTCCAACCCTGAGTGTCAGCATTTTAGAAAAATCTCTGCCAGTCAAGTGGCAGTTGTTGTGATAATATAGTATTAGAATGGTCCCCATGGTGCTCATATGATGGCACTTGCCAAGAGAGTTCTAGTAACAGGAGTCCCATGCCACTCTGGGGTTACACAAGGGAGGCGCAGAAGATGAAAGGACCTGTTTTGGTTCCCTGGTCCTCTTATGGGACTAAATGGCTTCGGGGACATCTGCGTGAGCCCAGAGCTGAGTTGAAGGTTGTCAGCATTCTTCATGGCTCTGTGATCACCAGATCAAAAGCTCAGGTGGTCATGTGAAGAGTTTACCTAGTCAGTCATCCAAGGTTCAAGTTCAGTGTGCATACTCATGAGCTGTCCATCAAAAAATCAAAATACCTGGGTAGATGTTTCCATATCTGTCGTACATTTACCATGGACCAGTCTGACATAGTGAAGGAATTTGGAGTATCATGTAGATGTGATTTACTGTGATGGAACTGTGTAAAGGGAGGTAAGAAAGTAACTTTCCAATTTTGGTTTCTCAAATTTCCCTCATTAAAAATAACAAAATGTTTCAGGAGGAAAACATGAAGGAATCCATTGCTTTAATCTTCTGGTTTCAGAATATATCTTCAAGATAATAATTAAAATCAGAAACTAAAGGGTTGGGACTTCTCCTGATCAATATGAAAGAAAACATTGGACCCCCAGAGGGAGGGGAGGAAGGAACGAAGGAAGGAAGGGAGGAAGGAAGAAGAAGGGAAGATTCTACTTAAAGAACAGTTTTCAACACACTGGACATGGGTTGATGAAGGGGTCCTGAGGGGAAGGAATGGGATACAGTGACCCCTATGACTGCTTCCCCTGCCTGGAAGGCCTCAGGACAGGGCCCACACTGCAGGATGTCTTCTGAGAGACAAAGGTGTCTGGAGTTGGAAAGACACAAGTATCAAAGATGAGAGCAAGGCCCAGAGGGTTCAGGAGCTGCACACAGGGCCCTCCAGTGCCCAGGAGACTCCCAGTTAGTGTGTGTTAGAGCAACACCCAGAGGGTTCAGGAGCTATGCACAGGGCCCTCCAGTACCCAGGAGAGTCCCAGTCAGTGTGTGCCTGTGAGAGCAAGGCTCAGAGGGTTCAGGAGCTGCACACAGGGCCCTCCAGTTCCCAGGAGAGTCCCAGTCAGTGTATGTGAGAGAAAGCAGCAACCAGAGAGCTCAGGAACTGTGCACAGGGCCCTCCAGTATCCAGGAGACTCCCAGTCAGTGTGTATGTGCGTGTGAGAAAAGTACCTGAACCCAAGAAAAGAACCCCCTGAACATAGGAGGAAGAGCAGCACACAGTGCTCACACAGGCTTGAACCCGGGCCTCCGTCCTCCCACCAAACAGAGGACTTCTTCATTCACAAGGCACTGGGGACACTTCAGACAGAGCTGCTCAACAGTGAAGGATTAACCCTGAACACATTCTAATTCAGCCTAGCAAAGAGTAGAGCAAGACCTGAAAGACTGAACTGTTCTAAATAATTAAACTATTCTAGAACAAAGCTGAAGAATATAGAAAAACAAAAGCAACCCAGTGCCCAACAAGGTCAAACTGTTAACACTTGACATCCAATTAAACAAACAAACAAAAAAAGACTCTATGGACATAAAGAACAAGGAAAATATACTCCATAACAAGGGGAATCGATAGAGGTGGACTCAGAACGGACAGAAATGTTAAATCAGCAGGAATGAATGGTATTACAGCTATTGCACTTGTATTTAAACATTCAAAAACTGGACCTATACTTAAGAAATTTTAGCCAGGTGTGGTAGCACATGCCTTTAAGCACTGGGGAGGCAGAAGCAGGCAGATCTCTGTAAGTTCAAGGCCAGCCTGGTCTACATAGCAAGTTCTAGGCTAGCTGGGGCTACAGGGAGACCCTGTCTTAAAAAGACTAAAAAAAGAAAAGAAATTTTAAAAAGACTCAGAGCTAAGTTTGTAGCTCAATAGAGCTGGGGTGTTATCTCAGGTGGTAGAGCTAGGATATAGCAGACCTGGGATATAGCTCATTTAGCAGAGCTGGGGGTATCGTTCCCAGACAGAACACTCATACACACAAAATAAAAATAAACCTTTTTTTAAAGAAAGAAAAAAACTATAATTTTAATAAAATTATTTTAATACAAATGCTTAAGTTCCTGCCTCATTACCAATACAACTGAACAATGCAAGCTGATTGTACTTTGGAACCCTCACTTATGTATCTCATGTTGCAACTTTGTCTGTCCTGATCCCCCCAGTTTGACGCTGACCGAGATGAAGATGCTGTGTTCTATGACATCAGTGTGGCGGTTGACAACAAGTTATTTCCAAACAAAGAGGCTGCAGCAGGTAAGTCACCATGTCCTTTGGGCATCAGAACACCATGATCACCAACCAGGTGATCAGACTTTTTGATCAATGACTGAATTTCCACAAAGTGCTGTAGGATTGAAAGGATGCCTCTGTCTTCACAACGTCATTCTTTCCAACTCAAAAATCAAGATCCAAGACAAAATGGAAAGACTAGAAGCCTGTCCCCGATCACTGGCTGATGTTTTGCTTAAGCGTCATTGCTCATATAAATACCAGTCATCACAACACAGCGTAGCACTGTCACCAGACTAGAAAAGAATTTAACTGACCCATACTTAGTACAATAGACAGAATCCCTCAAGGATCCTCAAACTCACACAGGTTTCTCTTGTTCTGCCTGGGAAAAAAGCATCAACTTCCCTCTTGTAACTGTTCCCATCCAGGGGGTCCTGGCCCTTCTTTTCTAAGACCTCTCCCGTAGAACCTTCTCCCTGTGGGACATTTGGAAGAGGGAACGCCACAAGGTGGCCAGGACTCATTATGCTGACTCTCTCTCTCTCTCTCTCTCTCTCTCTCTCTCTCTTTCTCTCTCTCTCTCTGACTCTGGACCAACTCACCATTCTGTTGCAGATGACCTTCAGTTTTTTTCTTTATAGCCTAGAACTTTCAGATTTTTCTCTATGAGATCACAACTCAGAAGACTGAGAACAAAAAAATTAAACTTAAAAATAAAGATTTTAGGACTGGAAATACAGTTCCATGGTATAGCATTTGTTTAGTGTGGGCATGGCCCTAGGTTCAATTCCCAGCACTGCAGAGAAATTAGATAGATAGAAGATGATAGATGATAGATAGATAGATAGATAGATGATTGACAGATGATTGATAGACATTGTATTGTGTTTACATTATAGTCAAGTAAGTCACCACTGTGAAAACAGCAGGTTCTGGCTTCTCTGTGATCCCCTGAAGAACACAGACTGGAGCTTCTGAGAAATGGGTGCTTCTCCATGGAGTGTACAAATAGCTATGTGTGGGTAACTGATCCCATGGCAGCTAGCGGATGTGTATGAAGCCACACACCCCACCTTGCCTTACACTCTAGCCCACACTGGACATCGTGCTCACAGGCTAGTACTTTGATCTGAGGCAGGAAGAGTGAGTTCAAAGCCAGCCTGGGCTATATACCAAGATCTTATGTGATAAACCAAAACAAAACGAACAAAAAACCTTGACTCCAACCCTGATGATCCAGGAGGAAGCCTCAGACTGGGACAGATGTAAACCCATCACCCAGCCTCTGTCTTCTGTCAAGAATCATTGCCATTCTGCTGGGTAAAAACATTTAGAAACATCAGTCTTCCAAATCTGTCTCAGAGCATCTTGATAATTCTTATCCTAGGCCCTCATCTTACAATCCACCCTATGGCTTGGTGGGTATAGCATATACAGTCAAGGAGGTCCAAGACAAGGTACCTCCTTCTCTTGAAGCTGGCTTCTGCCTCTGGAGCACCAAGAGCGCACACGCGCGCGCACACACACACACACACACACACACACACACACCTTCATGATCTGTGTACATTCCTGAAGATACCACTTTCTCCCTGCACACACACACACACACACACACACACACACACACACACCCCTTCATGATCTGTGTACATTCCTGAAGATACCACTTTCTCCTTATTGGGGTCAGAACCAACCCCATCTTGGCCACATTCTGCTACTGGTTCAGACACTTTAAGCTGATGCTGTAATTGAATAACTTCTACTCTGAGCTTTGACCCTGAACACGGAGCTGACCCCAGCTCCAGCAGTCCACACCAGTGCCCAGTCATGCCCCAGATCTTGGTCTTGACCTTGTCCTTTATTCTGAGTTAACCCACTTGTGTGCAGCTTCTAATAGAAGAATTGGTGAGGCATGGTGGCTCATGCCTGTAACCCCAGGACTTGGGAGACTGTTGGGAGGATTGCCATGAGTTCAAGGCCAGCCTGATCTACATAGTGAGCTCCAGGCCAACCAAAGCTATATAGTGAGACCCTGTCTCAAAAAAGAAAAGCAACAGCAACACAAAGACAATAAAAGAATGGGAATTCCAAGAACAGGTGGTGGTCTTTCTGGAAGACCCTCAGAACACTGATAACTGATGCAGACTCCCCTGCCTAATTTTCCAGTGATATTTACCAAAAGTCGGCCTATTTCAGAAAGGATGGACTATTGAGGTCCTTGTAAACTCATGTAAACAAGACTGCTACTATTCTAACAAATGCTGTGTCTTGCAGTTTGGTAGTGGTGGTGGTAGTTTTTGTGGGGGGGGGTTGTATGTGTACATGTCTGTGTGTCTTGTGGGAGGGGTATGCATGGGGTATGTGTGTCTGTGTGTATGTGTCAGTGTGTATGTCTGTGTGTATCTCTGTGTGGGATGTGTGTGTGTGTGCCTGTGTATCTGTAGTCTCTGTTGGGGTGCATGTATGTCTGTGTCTGTGTCTGTGTGTATATATGTCTGTGTGTCTCTGTGTGGGATATGTTGTATGTGCCTGTGTGTATATCTCTGCGTTTGTGTGTGCAAGTGCCTGTATGTATGTCTGTTGTCTCTATATGGGGTGTGTGTATGTGTGTGTATATGTCTGTTTGTCTTGGGGGGGGTCTTTCTGTGTGTATGTGCTTATGTGTGTGTCTGTGTGTCTCTATGTGTGGTGTGTGAATGTGTGCCTGTGTGTATATTTGTGTGTCTCTGTGGTGGGGTGTATGTCTGTCTGTCTGTTATTTGTGTGACACAGTATGAATCTCCCAGGAGATAGCACATGACCCCTTTCTCTTCCAGCTGACCCTTTCAGCTGGGCCACTGGTCCAAGCTCACCCCTCACAGGCACACTAGGCCACACTTGACCCCTGTGTGCATTTGGTGCACACTGGCTTTTCCTTCCAGGCCTCCAGGCCCATGACCTCCACACCCTTCTGCAGTGCCCCTCCTCTGTGGAGCCCATTAGTGCTTCCAGAAGTGCCATTTCTAGCTGCGCATCAGTCGGTATCTCTGGGCCTCGAATTCCATAGCTACAAAGAGGGACAAGAGCACCTACCTCACAGGAGATTGGAATGAGTCTGTTTTGCAGGTGAAGTGTATGGCTGTCCCCCTACGAAGATTGATGTAAATTGGGGCCTTTGCCAAAAACTAAGGATTTCACAGGGAGAAACCACATCTTGGCACAACTTGCCCTCCATTTCCTAGACTTCCCTCTCCCTCTTTTCCCTCCCACCTGCCCTCCCTCAACCCTTATCCTCAAGTCACCAAACAACCAGCCCTCAGTCTCCTCCCCCAAAGCAGTCCCCAAACCACCAGCTCCCTCCAGGAGTGCTCCTTCTTCTCCCAATACCTTGGGGGACTTGCCCCAAATAAATAGTGCTGCTCCTCAAAAGAATTCTGACACAAGCTGTTAATAACACTTCCCATGCCTGTTGTCAGCAGAGGGTGACTCTTGGTGCTCAGTGGAGTCGAGGGCTGTGGGAGACGCTTACCCTTTGCACAGAAAATGAGAGAGCAAATCTGTCCTGGGAAAACACAGAATCCTTTCTCTCATCTTTAGTCATGCAATGTATATGCGCTGAATGCCCATAATTTCCAAGGTGCGTTTTTATATTCAGTCTTGAAACATAATCCTCATGGGACAGCTTACAGTTTAACAGAAAAAGGGACAGGAGAGATTGCTTTCTTTAAAGGGAACAGATAAAGGGTTTCCCTCTGCTGAAGCCACCAAATTGCAGGATGGTCTCTAATTGACACTCTGAGTGCAAAGAGGGTCTTCCTATAACTTTAGACCTAAGATCCACTAGGATAGAACATCTGTGGTGCTGACCTGGAAGGCAACGTGGTTCAGCTCCGGCACTTAGAAAGCCATTGGTCTCCTGGTCCCCCTTAAGGGAGACAACCAGAAAGTGGATTTCTGAAGAGCACCGTCCATCTGAACCCATAACCCAAGTTCCTGCCGGTTCTTCATTTCCACTAAAAACAAAGATATTTTTAAATCTGAAAAGAAATCAAGAAATTGAAAACGGGGAGAAATGAATGTGCTTTTCCAAAGGTCCAGATTCTGTGATCACTTTCATTGCTTCATGTTTAGTTTGTTCACTGGAAGACAGGCCAGATGTGCACATATGTCCGTATTTGTCTTCCATTTCACTGCCCCAGGCCCCACCTTCAGCAAAGCAAGCCACCTGTGTTAAAAGAAAATGCAGGCCATTCAATCATTATCTGAGCTAGTAATGACATCCTTTGTCTATCTACTTCAGCAGTAAGTTAACACTACGGTTGCCAGGAGCAACAGTGTGTCAAGAAATGCCATCCTTAATGATACAATAAAATTTCTGTTAAAAGCACTTGATTAGGAAAGCTAATCCCTTCTTCTTCCTAAGCAGGAGGTTTGTTTTAATAAAAATTCTTTTCATTCTGACATTGCTGAAAATAAATTTGCCCCATCGATGTTAGCACACAATCCCTATTCACTGGGTTGGTTAAGGGCCCTTTAGAATGCACTTTTTGAAAACAATTGAAAGAATAGTTAGCAATTAAATAACATAAGTAGAACAAAGGCACTCCTAGCTGCCTATGTTCAGTGAGATTTTGTGTTCAGATCATGAGCACACCACAGGAATCACTCTAACGAGAACCGAGGTGAGAGGAATATTTCTGCCCACACGCCTGTCTCCGCTCTACCAGTGCATGGTAGACAATAGCCACACCAGAGAGAAATGAGAGTAAATGTACTTGCATTGCCTTCAGTGCTGCTACCAATAGCAGCCACGGGGGTGGGGGACCCTTGACTGCCCGTCTTGAATGAGGTGCTTATCCCACCTTGACATTGCATCCCGCAGTCCCCTGCCATGTGCCTCATCAGAAACTGTCCCTTGTCCCTCCTTATCTCAAGGCAGAGGAGACAGCACAGTCCTCCATGGCCTTTCTCGTGTACTGTACTGCAGTGAAAGGCAGTGTTTGTAAGGCCATTTGACTTGATTCTGCTTAAAATTTTTCATCAGTAGGGTATGTAAGAAGAAATGGCAGCTGCAGGTTCTGTGATTGTCTTACACAATAATAGGCCATTTGACTTGATTCTGCTTAAAATTTTTCATCAGTAGGGTATGTAAGGAGAAGAAATGGCAGCTGCAGGTTCTGTGATTGTCTTACACAATAACACTGGCCTCAAGTTTGAGGTCAGCCAGAGGTACCTAGTAAGCCCCTGTCTGAAAAAATTAAAAAAGAATGTTAAAATACAGTAAACAGTGATGTAGCTGCCTGATACTTAGCCAGTTTGGTAATGGCACATACTCGGTTTGGCAGTCAGCAAGGTTGCTGAGGATAAGAGAGTCAGGCGCAGTGGCACACACCTGTAATCCCCGCAGAGGCTGAGGCTGGAGGATCACAAATTCAAGGCCAGCCTGGGCTTATTAGTGAGACCTGTCTAAATAACAAAGGAAGGGGGAGGGAAGGAAGGGGAAGGGGAAGGGAAGGAACAAGAGAGGAAAATGGAAGGCCTGGGTGAGAAAGTAGCTTGGCTCTCCTTCCGGAAGGGCGGTGATGTGGAACTTCTGGGGCCACTGCACATCTGAGAAGCCTGTGAGGTGCCTGCTGGTTTTTAAAATCTACCTTCATTAAATGTTACTCACTTCATACTCTGACCAAGAGTGATTTGCAAGGCCCAGATTACAATAAAATATGAGGTGGTTTGTTCCTACACAGAACACATAACCTTTTGTAGGCAGCACTTTCCTGGCCAGGGAGGTAATGTGCACTTAGGTAGGTGGTGTGTATTTCCCAGTAGGAAAGAGCTATTAAATGAGTGCTATGAATCCATTGTGCTTCAAGAACCCCATTGTGGAAATTAATGTTTTAAGTCTGAGCCTTGGGGATTAATGGGAAAGTGATTTCGTATAACCTGCGGTACTTAGAAGGAAACAGTCTCTGTTAATACATCCTCTTAACCTGACTTTTCTCACCGCTGGGGTCTGTGCTGGTTAGTTTTTAATTGTCACCTTGACACACCAGGGAAGTGGACCTCAGCCGAGTTCTTTAGCCCAGGTTGGCCTGTGGCATGTCTGTAAAGAATGGTCTTGATTGTTGTCACCCTGAATGTGGGTGACACCGTTTCATGGGCTGGGCCCTGAACTATATAAGCTGATAGCAGGATGTGTTGATTCTCCTTATTCTGGACCGTGGATGTGACGTGACAGTTGTTTGACTTCCTGCCTTACTTCCTCTAAAGGATGAATTGAAAGCTGGCGTTACAAGCTAAAGAAACCCTTTCCTCCTGTGTTGTTTTTCCTGAAGGTGTTGCCACAGCAACAGAAATGAAAGCAGAACAGAGACCAAGGTGACCCAAAGGCTAGAGTGAAAAGTGGGCCAACTCAGCTCTTCCTGTTTCTAGAACCTTCTTGCTCTTCTCCCCCTCTGTTCCTGGTGCTCCTTGTATCTCAGATGCTCTCGCAGATTCTAAAGCCGTTTCTCCCCCTGAATACCCACACTCACCCTCAAAGTTCAAGTTCATGAATCATTTAGTTGTGAAGACTCGTGGTTCCCCTGTCACCCTCATCTTAGTCACAGTCAGCCCTTCGCTCTTCCCGCTTTCTGAATCTTGCTGTTGACCATTTATCCTGCTCCAGAGTTGCCTCTTCCGAGGGCCAGGACGGAGTCCAGAGCATCTGCATCTTCCACCTTCCAGACACAGCTGGGCAGATGGGAGGAGTGGACAGTGTATGTGAAGTTGATGCGGAAGGCGGTGCAGAAACCTGGCAGGAGACTGATTGCTTTAGAAACACAGTCCGAGGCCACCAACCTAATCAGGTCTTTTCTAAACTTAGATTCAAGTGACCTTGATCCTTCGATGATGTTTGATGCTGGAGAGGTCCTCGATACAGGATCGGATTTTGAAGATCAGGTAACAAAAACTAAAAGGATTTTTTCTATTTAAGTGGTTTTAATTGTAGTTTTGTAAATGCTTTATGAACATGAGAATTAAAATTGTCACTTTGTGAGATCGTGATAGACAATAACACTTCATGTTAAGCCATGGCAGCCTCTGTCTTTCTCTCACTAAGTGCGGCTCTTTCACTTTTCCTTACTTAGATCCAACTCAGCAGCCAGTTAAGGAAATGTTTATGGTTGAAAATTACTTGAGATATAGTTTTCTTACCCAAGAATTTGCCTATGTCCCTATTTGTGATGGTTAATTCTGTCAACTTGATTGGATTAAAAAATGCCAATTGTGTTAGTAAGTCACACCTTTGGGTGTGTCTTTGAGGGTATTTCTAGAGAGGCTTAACTTCAAGAGGAAGAGTTTAGTCAGCACTGGTCATGGCTGGGGTCCAGACTGAAGAAGAGAGAAGAGAGAGCCACCTGAATGCCAGCCCCTACCTCGTTCTGCTTTTCTGATCCACCACGATTTGAGTAAGCAGCCCCACACCTCTGTAGCCACAGCCTCAGAGCACTCTGCCACTCCTTCCCCACCACGATGGACCTCACCTTCTCAAACTGGGTCCCAACAGCCTTCCTCCCTTAGGTGCTTCTGTTAAGTGTTTTGTCAGAGCAGTGAGACAGGTAACAAACACACTCTTCTTTCCCAGTAATAAACCAAGAATACATGCTGAGCATTAGCTAAGGACTCAGGGCTCTGCTCATCTATCTCTAACCTTCTGTAGGAAATGGTACCTAAGGAGAAAATAGCCATGGAGTTAAATGGATATTTTCTTTGAATAAAATTGAAGAAATTATCTGGGTCAATTTCCTCTCAGCACAAAAACTTCCTCTGTTTCTATACTTTAATGACCCAAAATAGTTGGCAAATAATCCAGCTCTCTAATGAAGCTGTGTTTTTTTAACTTATCTGAAACTCCCTGCCCGCTCATCAGTGCTCCTCAGAAATGGCAACTTCTCTTCTCACTTTCAACTACTTTATGTCATAAGTGAAGCAGATAGTCCTGACCAGGGTCCACACATGATTGGCAGTAACCTCATTCATGGTGTGTGTGTGTGTGTGTGTGTCTTCAGCAATTAAGCTACTTCCATCACAAAACATGAAGATATTGAGAGGTGTATAAACACATAGTAGTTACCATATATTAATACTAATTTCAATAGTTACTAAGCATTTACTATGTGGAAAACTAAGATGCTAATAAGTTTCTAGTTCCCTGTATTAATTACTGTACTAACTCCTCACAGTATCTCCACAAGTAGGAATTATGATTTCTACTTCACAGACAAAAAAATTAAGATAGAAAGAGTAATTTGTTCAAGGTTATACAAATAATTTCTAAATGGGGGCATGGACTTGGAGTATAGTTTCTTTTATGGGTTTTATTAGCATGTATTAATTATGCATAATGATTTCATTGACATTGTCATACATGTATAATGTACTTTGGTTGATTCACCCCCTGCCCTCTGTTGATCACCCCCCACTCCCCTTTCTCTTCCCAACTAGTTAGTCCCTTCTACTTTAGAGTTGTTTTTATTATTATTCCCCAATGAACTGAAGCATGGGTGAGAAGCTGTGTACAGGAGCATGGCCGAGTTACCAGTGGTTAGACCACTATAGAAAAGGTCTCTCTCCCAACAACCATTACTACCTATAGATCCTCAGGGAGGGTAGGTCCTCAGGACCCATCTCCCTCCACAACAGGATGTTGACTGGCCCAATCTTTTGCAAGTAAACCCAGATGCTGTGAGTTCAGGAGTGTCACAGCAACATTGGTCCACAACATTCCACCCCTCCCTCTGGCTCTTACATTTTTTTCCTTCCTCTCTTGCACAATGTCCCCTGAGCACTGGAGGGGACAGATATCTCATTTTAGGGCACATTTTATAAGATCCACAATACACTGCCTCCCTTCCTACCCTCCAGAGTCAGCCAGAGTGCAGCATTGGAGTTGTATCATTTCAACTGCTGACCCTTAGGGCTTCAGCCAAGGTGAGAGACCATCACTCACAACATGCATCTAAAATTACAGACTGCACCAAGAAATGAGCTGCCAAGGAAAGCCAGCTACAAGAGGGGGCTTCATATCACTGAGGACTAGCAATTATGAAAGAAACTTTAATAGAGGAATATCTTAAATATTCAGAGAAATAAAGGGAAGATTAGAAACCATAAAACAAGTACAGGAAAGAAAGGAAAGAGAACAGAGAAATGGACATGCTGGGTGTGACAGTTAGTGTTGACCCCCAACTTGGCCTGGAATCACCCAGGAGGCAGGCCTCCAAGCACACCTGTGAGTGGTTTTTTTTAAATATTTTATTTATTATTTTTATTTTATGTGTATGAGTGTATTGCCTGCATGTATGTGAGTGCACCCGTGTCGTGCAATGCCTCGGAGGTCAGAAGAGGGCTTCGGATTCCCCTGGAACTGGAGTCAAGGACTGTTCATAACCACCATGTGGGTGCTGGGAATCGAGCCCAGGTCCTCTGCAAGAGCAGCCAGTGCTCTTAACCGCTGAGCCATCTCTCCAGCCCCTGAGAGGTTATTTAAATTAAGCCAGACTCTCAGCATGCCTATGAGGGATTGCCTTGATTTGGTTAAATGGGAGAGAAAGACTTACCCTGAAGGAAAGCAGCACCCTTCCCTGACTTCAGGTCCTGGACTGCATAGAAGGAGGAAGCGAGCTTAGCATGACAGTCATCTGTCTTTGCTTCTTGATGGTGGATATAATGTGACCAGCTTCTGCCTTGAATTCCATGCCCTGATGCCCTTGAACTGTGAGCCCAGGTAAACCCTTTTTTCCTTAAGCTGCTTGTATTGGGTATTTTGTAGCAGCAACAGGAGAAGAAGCTAAGACACTAGACACAAAAATGATAGCTATAGAAATAAAAGTTCAATTAACAGGTGGAGAGCTGGTTGGACACAACTAACAAGAGAATAATAGATGAAATCACCTTAGAATACAATAGAAAGCTAAACAGTTGTCTGGTATGAGGAAGAGCTCAGTAGACACTGAGGATAGTATGATGGAACCAAGATACGTATTCTAGGAGGGAATGGAGCAGAGGCTGTGCTTTGATAGAGAGAGGTTGAGACTTTCACAGACATGAAAAAGGACAAATCCCCAGATTGAAAGAGCACACTGAGTCCAGAGAAGCATATTAAAAACAACAGTAAAATAATCTCAGGGCTGGAGAGATGGCTCAGTGGTTAAGAGCACTGGCTGCTCTTGTAGTACTGGGGTTCAATTCCCAACACCCACATGGCAGCAAACAACCATCCAAAACTCCAGTTCTAGGCAAATCCAACACCCTCTACTGACCTGCGAGAGCATTGCACGACATAGGTGCACTCACATACATGCAGGCTATACACTCATACACATAAAATAAAAATAAAAAATATTTTTAAAAATCTACCCTAGTCATTTGACAAATATTGAGTGTTCTGTATGCCAGGGTCCGTCTAGATACTGGAAAGATATAATTATTAAACAGACTCTTGTTTACATCCTATCAGAGAAGACAGACAGTAACCAGTAAACAAAGCAAGCTAGTAAATTCTCTGGATTGTCAGGGATAAGCTCTGTGAACAGGGAAGAGGAGAGTCAGGGGTACAGAGAAGGAGGGCGGGGCACAAGCATTGAATAGGATAGTCAGTCCTAAATGATTACCTTAGGGAAGAGGTGAGATTTGGGTGAAAGCAACACATAACCAAGCCACCAGAATGCAAGAGATCAAAACAAAACAGTAAACGTGGAAAGGCATTTCCTATAATGCAATATTGGTGGCAGCTGACCAAACAGCACACTCATCTCTGGAGCAGCTGTGACAAGCCAGGTGCCATGATTTATGGTTCACAATGCATTATTGCTCATCCGCACAACAACTCAAGAAGGTAGGTCTGCTTGCCCCCAACTTACGGCTGAGGGAAGTGAAAGTAGCCCATGTCCCAGGCGCACACAGCTAACAAGTTAGAGTCAAAGATCGAGCTTTGGCATGCCAGGCTCCAAAATCCAGCTGCTCCTTTTGCTATTCTAAATGAGCCATAATCAAGGTCTGTGGAAGGCTATTGCCAGTTCCAGCTGACATTTTTTAGGGATCTTTCTTGACCTTGCTACATTTGATGCTGTTAAAAAAAAAAAAATCACTGAATTTTCTCCTTAAAGAACCAGGTAACAGGGGCTGGAGAGATGGCTCAGCAGTTAAGAACAGAGGACCCAGGTTCGATTCTTAGCACCCACATGATAGTGAAAAACCATCCATAACTCCAATTCCAGGGGATCCAACACCCTCTTCTGGCCTCTGCAGGCTTTGCACAACATGGATGCACTTGCATACATGCGGACAAAACACTCATACACATAATACAAAAATAATAAATAAAATATTTTTTAAAATAACCGGGTAACAAATGTCTTAGGTCCTCAAGTCCTCTGGTCTCTGCTTCAGTGACTCAAATTCTATAAAAGGAGTCACAACAATATGTAAGTATATGAACTTGGCTGAGCGCCAATAAAACGATATGTATCGGAAGTGAAATCTGAACTCCGCATAATTTTCTTGTGGTATATTTCAATCCTTTAAAATGAAGGCCTATTTTCAGCAGAGAGGCTGAGCAAAAGTTGGCAGCAAAAGTTGGTGGACTTGACCTGCAGGCCATGCTTCGCCATCCCTGGCCATCAGCCATTCCTCCCTTCTCAATATTCCCCTCTGTTAGCTTCTAGCATTTCAAGCGTCTTCAGTCCTTAGTGATTCACTCCTCTTAGCTGATTTCATCCTCAGGCAATTACATGAGATCACTAGGACATCACTATGCCAGTCTTAGCGATTTAGAAACTGAGATACAGAGAAATTAGGAATCTAATTCAAGGTCACAACAGCTAACAAGGGGTAAAGCTGGGAACGCAAGGGGTAGAACCAGGGTTCAAACCAGGGACCGGGGACAGGAAAGACAGGCT